TCCCTCTGGCGTGTCGACCGCACCACTCAGCTTGGTGTCATCTGCAAACTTGCTGAGGGTGCAGTTGATCCCACTGTCTATGATGTCATTGATGAAGATATTAAATAGTACTGGTCCCAGTACAGACCCTGGTGGGACACCACTTGTCACCAGTCTCCATCCTGACTTTGAGCCGTTGACCACTACGCTCTGGATGTGACCTCACCCACTGGACAGTCCACTCATCAAATCCGTACCTCTCCAATTTAAAGAGAAGGATGTTGTGGGGGACCGTGTCAAAGGCCTTACAGAGGTCCAGATAGACAACATCTGTAGCTCTTCCCTTTTCCATTGATGCAGAGATGCCAGCTGATAAACTAGGTATCAAACAGCCTACTCCTTATATTTTGTTATGTAATGACAAGATGCTTATTCTGGATGCCAAGACCATGTTTGAAAAAGTAAAAGTGTTTATTGTTTGACTGCATAATTGAACATCTGTGAATAATGTAAAAAAATGTGTTTACTCTTAGAACAAGAAAGTGTTTGGGTAAAGAATTGCTCATAACTGCAGTGAGAAAGAGTCCCACCTGGAGTAATCAGAAATTTTTCCTTCCATAAGTGCTTATTCTGTTGTGTTATAGAAAACACAAATAAGAGTTAAAGTCTCATTGCTCTCCTGGGAAACCAACTTGTGAGATGTAAGGCAGGGCAAATTTCATTCACAATACTGTTTTTAATCTTTAAAAGCAAACAACTATAGGATTTGCCAAGGATCATATGTTTATTTATTTAAATACTTCAGCACCTATGACTTGCTTTAGATATTTGACAATAACTTACATGTATTATTTGTAAGGAGTGAAAAATCAATGAACACATTAACATTTCTGAGATTCCGATGTCCATAGAGAATTTCAGTAACATTATTCATGTTTATAACCTTGCATCCGACTACTACTTTCCTTCTGTCCAGAAAGAAGGAAAATGAAGGCTTGTGCAACACGCCCAGAAAGTTAACAGATTCATGTAAAAACAGATTTTGGCAAAAAACAAAGAAAGAAGTTTCTCAGCTCAGAATTCTCTATGGAAACGGTCTTAGTCCGTAGCCCTTATTACATTACCTGCAGTGCCTGCTATCTGTTACCACCCAAGATGTCACCTCAGGTGTCTCAAATCACTTAGGAACTTTGGTCCTGCAAGGAAAAACTTCAGAGGATGGCACAGTGCTGTCTTGGTGTGACACATAGCTCGGCACCAAGCATGACTTTGAACTCTTGGAGACAAAGACTGTCACGTTTAGTTTGATACTGACTTGTAGGGTTTGTACTCTCTTTGTGCCCTGATACAGTCTGGGACCACGGCTCTGTTGTTAACCAGTGCTTTGTAAGAGATAGGGCAAAACTGCAATATTTCCCTACAATCGTAAAGCAGGATCAAAATGGTGCTATACTGTAACAGATGTGTGTTGTGTGTGTGAAGAGTACATGGGGGTGTTCTGATCTGAGCAAACTAAACTACACCCTAGGTCTTCTTTCCTCTTCGTGTTTTATGATTGTGATATTTAAGTGATTTTAGTGCTCGAAAGCTGTGGCTTCCAAAAAGCAAAACATGCATCTCTAATATCTTCATGTTTACCTTAATTTAGTGCATTTTTATTGTTCTTAATTTGTATCAAAAGAAAACCCTGCTGAAAGGAAATCGTCACAGCAGATGGCATTGAAATACAAATAGAAGGTTTCACAGGAGCCCTGTCAGCAAACACTGTGTTGGAGATGTGCAAAATTACAATCCTGCAAATGACCATACAACGTGGGAAAGGAATGAAAAGAGGTTTAAGTAGCAATGATTGCCTTCTTCCCTATTCCATTGCTTTTTCTCTGGGCAGACATTAATAAAAGACAATAACGCTAGAAGCTACAGGGACTTGTATAAGATTAAATTACTTTAATTGGGGTTAATTGAATAGGAATGATGGAACTCAAAATAGAAACAATGTATGTTATATGCAAATATAATTACAGAAAGGAAGTATGACTTGCCAACAAGGATAACAAATAGTACTACATATCAACAAAGCATATTAAAGCTGGAACAGATGGTTTTATGGTCTAGGTTGCAAGGCTGATGGCTTTTTTTTAATGATGGTTATTGTCTCTTCCATTTCAGGAGACTAAAAATTAGGACTAGTTGCACATTCCCATGTGCCACACTGAAAAACTTAATGTTCAAGAGAACAATCCTAGTTCTTAACTGCCCTTTGCTGTCATGGCACCCACTGGTAAGTGCACTTGTCCAGTGCATGCACCTGTGCTAGATATTGTGCAACAGGCACCACCTACAGGATGTGAAGACCTGGCAGCCAGTGCTGGAGGCTCTCTGCATGCTCAGTAGGAGACCTGCAGGTTACCTTGGCAGCAGGAACTGGTGAGGCATGAAGGATTGGGCAGGGGGTCAAGGGATCTTGTAAACATCAATAGTTTTTAATTTCTCCTCGTGAATTCCTTAAATAAATTCCACTGTGGAAAAAATTAGTATGGGGTCCCACCTTTGATACTTCTAGGCAAGCAATGGACACTGTGAAAAGGCGAAGTGTTCTCCCTGAATACGCTCTAGCTGGAACACGACTCAGTCCCTTACAGTGCTCCACAGCAGGTTGTCCTGCTGCAAAGCAAAAGTACTTCAGTTACAATGGTATAATTTGTTTGTTGAAAATACCTCTTCTGCAAGAGGGTAATGTATGTGGGATATTGTCAAATAAGAATTTCTAACAGAATTTAAATGATTGAAAACTTTGGTTTTCTCCTTTTAGTTCAGTATGTATGCTGGGAATTATGCATTAGAATATTTACCACTAATACTACATTGACTCAAAGCATGTCTACCAGTTTGAATTATATATTTTTTACTTTGGCTAAGAATTTGGTTATATTTTCAGAAGTACACTGTGGTTTCTACTTCCCATCTCAGGTTTTGAACCTTGCAAATATCTGGTCTGTCTTTTGTTATATTTACAAATTTATTTCTTAGGATTGTGATTAGACCTAATACTTTTTATTACAATTTTGCAATTACTCTAATATTTAGCACTTATCTACTAATAAATGTTTGTTCATACAGTGCTTTATAGTTTCAAAGTGTTACATGATAACTTACTATTAACAAACAGATTTTTTTAAAAAATCCTGTAAAACAGAGTGGTTTATAAAACAAGCACAAATTAACAGTCATCAAACTGATGCATAGCACAGTGGTTAGTGCTTTAGTATAACTGAGCGCATGGGGAAAACTTCAGATGGTAAAAATTGTTCCAGATAAAAAATGTCGAGGTGCAACTCTCAATGTCAAGGCAACTCTATTTACTCTTAGCTGCTGTAGGTTCCATGTCTATGTCCAGGTCCGACAGAGCACAGTAGAAGAGTATCTGAACATATTTTGTTGTTGTAGCTGTAATACATAGCAAAAATGTGTGAGACAAAATTATAACATATCTTAGACAAATATATGGATTTTGAGGATTTGAAAGCACTACACAGGTATTAGGAAAATCTTAAACCACCTTAATTGATTGGATTAAGCACAAGTTATAAATAGCTAAAGGCAAAAGGAGCTCAATAATTAAACAGAAAGTCTCATTTAATCAAACTTTCATCAACATTTTCATTGAATTGTCAGATTGATAGCTGAGTTCAAACTGAATAAAAATATTAAAGTTTTGCTTTTCAAGATTGCCTGAATTTGAGGAGTGGAAACTACCCTTCAGGCCAATAATTCATTATTTCATAATTTACAAAAATTCATGGACTTCTCTGACTCTGATGTTCCACTCCTTAGGAAGAAAGTGAAGCAATGGTGTCCTGGTATTTGTGCCTTCCAGAGTATCAAACTGCATGCATTTAGTCTTCACGATCCTATATGGCTTTTATTGAGCCAACATCTTCAAATGGCTCAACACCACAAATATTAGATGACCATATATATCCACATATTGGACTGTTTTGTACAGGTATGCATAGTTTTGTTTTCAGGACCATGTGATGAAGCAAATGATCTCAGACATGCCGTATACAGCACAGTAAAACTTCATAAGGAAAAAGGATTCTAGGAAAAATTCTTCTTTCCGTCTTCTGACCAAGCATTCAAGATTTTGACACGCTTACTAGGACAAAATGATATTGCTTACCAGAGAGTCTCTGTAGACATTTAGGTCGTTTTTCAACTGGCAGATAGACTCCCAAATAATATGCAGGAATGCCTGAGAGGGCAATACCAACACCAATAAGGGAATTGATTGTATCGCTGTAGAGAGGAACTATGACCAGGAAAAGGGAACATAAACAGTATACTATAGGGAAGAAGAGGTTAAGCTGTGGAGACAAAAAAAAATTCCAACATTTATTAAAAGATGCGGTAAATATTCTATTGTCAGGCTTTGCAGATTAAAATTAGACAAGTCAATAATAAAAATATATAAAATATATAAAAATATAACTATTGACTATATGACTACTATAGAATCTTTTGACTGCCTACAGTCAGTACAATTTGCTACCTTCTGTGTATGCTGCTGAGAATGTCTTATCTGGTACACACCTGAATATCTGACCATTTTGTTGTTTTCAGGCCTGCACAAGCTCAGTTCCTTTCCATAGTAGTAAGAGATCAATCTTTGAAAGCAGTACTTTAAAACTGAACAGCAATGGCTAACTTCAATTGCAAATTTTTAATTGTAAGTTTGATTGGGAACTAACTCAGCTAGGCTTTCAGTTACTGTGTTGATGCTACAGAACTAATGGACTGATGTACAACTATTTTGCCTGGGCACTTAACAAATATCATACTGCAAATAAGGAAGGTTGCAATAACTTCTTTATGGATTTATTTTTCACTAAAATATTTTTCACTGGCTGTAGTAATGAGCCTTCTCAGGAGTCCAGGAGCTGACATTTGAATACTAGCTGAAACTCCTGAGAGTTTGCTGGTATAAATATTTCTTTTTCCTTATAAAGGTTAAAAATGTAAGTTCAAAACCAGCTGCTACGTTTCAGAAAAGGAAAAAGTGTATGAGGAGTTGTGACGTTGACTAAGCTGGCAAATGCTGATAGGAATTAAACAGTCATTATCTATAATCTGACTGTAATCCTTGCTTTGGTAGAGTCAACAGCAAAGCTGCCAATAAGGCAAGATTTAATCTTTATCTTCCACGTATTTTGGGGGAGAGTTTGGAAATGAAGTGTGAACATGCTTCAGGAAAATTTGATCTGCTCTGGAAGACTGGAACGTTTTCTAGCAGTAGGTGCTTAGGATATTTTACTCCTTTGTTTGAATCATGTTTTTTATAATCAGGATATTACACTTAAAGCGGAAAAAAAAAATGTGTTGATAAAAATGATGCAGGAGGTTAGGAAGAGTGAGTGACAAGGAAGAAATATTTAGATAGGGTGTTAATTTGGATTTCTCACAATTTTCACTGCATCACTGCAGAGCCGAAATGCAGGCCATGGAGCCAACAGAGTGCAGGGAAACGGGAGCCAGCGTGTGGTTTTGTGTGCCTGGGGGAAGCTGTGGGTGTCCGTCCCTGCTTCCTGGACAATCACTGGATTAAAACCAGAAACAAGTTTTAGGCATGAATTGTTTCTGTGCAGTCTCCCTCTCCTAACTGATAGCCAGATGCTCTTCTGCAATCAGTCATTAAACTTGCATTTTACTGCAGAGTGCAGGGAAACGGGAGCCAGCGTGTGGTTTTGTGTGCCTGGGGGAAGCTGTGGGTGTCCGTCCCTGCTTCCTGGACAATCACTGGATTAAAACCAGAAACAAGTTTTAGGCATGAATTGTTTCTGTGCAGTCTCCCTCTCCTAACTGATAGCCAGATGCTCTTCTGCAATCAGTCGTTAAACTTGCATTTTACTCTCTATGACCACTATGCAGTGGGAAGGAACACAAAATATATTTGATTATTTAAATTTTTGATCTTCTGCATGAGCAGAATTTTGGGCATTTATGGGCTTTGGAGGGATTTTGCTGAATTTGTTAAGTCATGTAAGTTTGATCAGAGTGTTAACCTCTCTGGAGCCCCCATCACTAGCTCTACTGAGGTCTGCTGTGAACAATACAAAAGGGGGTTGTTCCAGGATGGGCTAAGAACCCTAGGCATTTATTTATTCCTTCTTTATTTTGAAATAAAGATAGTTATACAGTTGAATGAAAGGAAAAAGAAACAGTAAATATCATTTCAACCTCACAGCAAAAGTACCAGAACAGATGTTCTTGTGGAAACTCAAATGGGTTTTGCTCCTTCATTTCTTATCTTGTACGTTGAAAGGATTTCTATGGCTGATAAATAGTCTATTATATAACTGGTAATGTTACGGTTGTGGTATTAAGGATCACATAAACACGTGCATTAGCTGGCTTTTAGGGCTCGTTTTCTCTCTTATTTACTTACTTTAATAGGCCTTGGTCTATGTGGCTGAGTATACCTCAAATATATCAGTCCTGCAATAGACAGACCCACAAAAAGCCAGTAGTTGAAGCAGTAGTAATTAATGAGGAGGAAAACATCTTCCACAAGGAGATAAAGCAAAGTCATTAAGCCCTAGAGATAATAAAAACAAAGACTTTTTAATGTGAAAATAAAGACATGTCTTATAAAATAAAGAGAGAGTGAAGTTATAAAACAGTCTGTTTCCAACACATTTGTCTGGAGTTAGGAGATCAGGTCCTTACAAGAAGGATGTACTTAAAACTCTGAGGAATCTGCAGATATGCTGTGTGAAACATGCTGGTATCTCTTCCTTAAACATAGCAGTGAGACAACCACATTTGGCTGAAGAGGCGTTGGGTTTGTGGAGTTATGTTTCAGCACCAGCAGGAAACCCTCCTAAGGCGGCCAGATGAGGAGCCCCAGACTCTGCTGCGTTATGGAGAAGGCTGCCAAGAAGCTTTCTGTAGGCAGTGGCTTACTCTGCTCTTCTGGTTGGCTTCAGTTGGAAAGCAAACTTTTAATTTAATTTCACTTTGGAGGCTCTCACAGTCCACTCGTACATTGAGACCATTAGAGTAAATTCTGTGGCATGCAGGTATGCTATACTGCCTGCATGGAAAGACTTAAAATACCAGGAATTTAATGTCTGTTTTAACAGATGAGCAGAAAAAAAATTCCACTGTGAAAAACGTGAATGGTGGTGTATTAAGGGAGTATAGCTCATCTTACTGGTGCAAACAAAATCCCTCTGAGAAGAGTATTTATAATGAGATTACAACTTTTAGTAAATTATTTAATGTCAAACAGGACTGGTATGATAATCTATTCATAAACCATATGTAACACAGGGGAATGGAAGACACCAAATAAAATACATGTTCAAATAAACAGCAGTGAAATGCTTTTGAATGATTCTACCTTCTCTGTTTGTGCATGTCCTCCCCCTTATTTTAATCTGTTAGATTTATGGGTTATTTATTAAAATCATTTGCACTGATTCTATAGCTTATGGTTCCTCGATTTTGTGTCACAAGATTCATTTGTATAGTGACAGCAGGAAAAAGTCAATATGGCTATAGGTATCCAACGGTAGGCATTTAATTTTAAGTGCTTTGTCACTCCTGTTATAACTAGAGTCCTAGAAAATCAGCCTACAGCAGGGTCTGAGAGATGTTCCTGCCATATTCTTCTCCAGTGACACTCAGAAAACTCACATAAAGACTTAAACAACTCCTGTCTAGACTGTTACATATTTAGCCATTCTCTGTTTTCTAAGTAATACTATCGTACTTACTCCTCGCTAATCTTGTTCAGAGAGCATATGAATGTGAATCAAGCCATTCTCTTTCCACTGAAAAAAACCCCACCAGACAAAATAAGACCACCACCCCCCTCAATGAGTTTTAGAAATTGTGGGGATTTGAGGAAGATGTCTCCAGCGCAGGAGAAGCCCAGGAGAAACACCGGGCAGAGGCGAGGTGTTATACTCCCCAGGTCTGAACCGCCAGCTGCCCAGGCCAGGCACAGGGCCGGGCTGTCACTTACATTGAAGAGGAGAGCAGGGACTGGTGTGAAGCACTTTATATGAATCAAGCTCAGACTGTCAGGGAGGTGTCCTTCCCTGGCTCCAACATAAAAAAGCCTGAAAAAAAGAATAAGAAAACTCAACCAGATCGTGAGCCAAGGAATAGCTTGTTGCCTTCTGACAAAGGCAGCATTAATTCTTTTATTACTCTATTGTAAATGCTGCTCTCTTCCCAAGTGGCTTTAGTTTATCAATTGGTGCTGATCATGAGAAGACATGTCACACCATAACAATTCTTCCATCATAAATGAACAAATTGACATGGCAAAAATTAACTGTGTCACTTTTACAATGCAGTAGTAAAGAATGCAGATTAATAATAAATATTCCTTTTCAATTATTTAAAATATATTTCATACCTAGATGCTGCAATTATTGATGAGTTTAAGCCACTATAGCAAGACATGGCCACTGCTATAGGAATTATCCACTTAGCATAACTGAGGGTTTCACCGCCAAACGTCTGTAACAGAAAAAGAAAATAATAGTGAGGCCCATTACGTTAAGCATACGGACAATCCTGAGAAACTCGCATGAAAACACACCAGCCCAAATATAGTGTCATAGCCCATGCTTTCTTATGACACCTGATAATGACTGGGGAAATTAGAATTTGGAAAAACTGATCAGTATCAAACTAAAAATGGCCAATACATTAAAAAAAGATTAAAAAAAAAAATTTCTAAGTAGATCAAGTCAATGACATAATAGAAGAAGATGTATTTGCTTTAATGTATTCTGACAAATCCTGACTGTAGTAATCCATGAGTGTCCTAGTTTCAGCTGGGATAGAGTTAATTTTCTTCCTAGTAGCTGGTACAGTGCTGTGTTTTGGATTTAGCATGAAAATAATGCTGATAACACACCGATGTTTTAGTTGTTGCTAGGTAATGCTTTCACTATGGGGGAAAGCTGGCCGGGGGGCAGCGATCGCTGCTCAGGGACTGACTGGGTGTCAGTTGGTGGGTGGTAAGCGGTTGCATCACATCTTGGTTCCCCCCTCCTTCCCCTGCCCCTTCCTGGGTTTTGTTCCTCTCTCTCTCTCTCTCTTTTGTTGTTTTACTTTCCATTACAGTTTATTATTATTGTTGTTGTTGTTATTACTATTATTATTATTATTATTTATTTTATTTCAATTGTTAAACTGTTCTTATCTCAACCCACAAGTTTTCTCACTTTTGCTCTTCAATTCTCTCCCCCATCCCACCGCGGCGGGTGGAGTGAGCAAGCGGCTGTGTGGTGCTCAGTTGCCAGCTGAGGTTAAAGCACGACAATGAGTTATAATTGTACTTTTGTATAAAATATTGATAAGGTTTTAAAAAGCATTTCACTACACATTTTTGTGTTGAAAATATTGCTGTGGTCCTGCAGCATTAAACATCACACACTGTACATTAGAATGATAGCAACCCCCCCTGGTTCTTAAACCACCCAGACTTTCCATAGCTCTTTCTCTGGCTGGCCCTGGCAAAAGCATATTCTACAATGAAGCACTGTTAGGAGCAGGATTTACAGAGTATATAAAAGGATTTTATAAGAGCAGATTACTATATACACCTTCTCATATACTGGTACCCTCACATGAAAACAAAGTTTGAAACAAAGCAACAACCTTCAGCATGGAAATATTTCAATATTTTTGCCAAGAAATATGCTATCTGAGATTATTCTGCAGTGTCATCCATACAGTAACTTTTGGATTAATTTTTATACAACTTACCACAGCCACTGCATCACTTGTGAGGAGAGCTGACATGTCCAACACTACGTAGTATGCTATATTAGTCAGCAAGTAAATAACAGTCACAATAGGCATTGAAATTGCAATAGAAAGAGGTAGATTCCTGCAAAAGGAAAATGGCAAAATTATTTCATGTTCTTTGAATAAGGAATATTTAAATAGAAGATTGTTCCCAAATTCAAACATTTGTGAATGGATACCTCCATCACTTTTTGTAATCCATCATTTTGTAATCATGGGGTTACAAAATAACATGCATCCATGTGTAGAACAATTCCATAAGCAGCTTAATTGGCTGCTTGTGGGTCTGTCACAAGTTTTAGAGAAAAAAAGTACATTTATACCTGTAAATTTTATATATTGTCTTTTCTATGAAGCAATTTAAGAGAGCACTTAAGCAATGAGATTTAAATGCACATTTAGGTGTTTTCGTGATCGTAGCATTTTTTACCTGACTCATAACCTATGTATGTCCCAAGACAAGGTGGACTCAGTCTGAGTAGGTGAGGCACACCACTCCCACAGGGTGGACATCCCGACAGAGGGGAGGAGATGATATTTCCAGTGCTACTGTAGGCTTTTTTATTTTTTACTTAACCTTTCATCTTTAGTAAAATTACACATTTTTCCCAAAAACAGTAATGCTGAAGATCACATGATAAAAAAGTCATAAACCTGAAACAGCCTTACTCTACTAGTGGAAAATAAAATAACTGTTCTATCTGACTGAAAAGAAATAGGGAATTTTGGAGAGCTAGATGGACCCACACTTTTCCCTGCTTTCAGCAGGGATTTGTTCTCCTCCTTTAAAAATTCTGGCCTAAAGTGGAAGGTTTAACATACACATATGCAGACAAGTGATTTAGTGTGATAAAACTGGTGAGAGAGGACAATAATCAGGAAGAATTTGCATACTTACTACTTCTCTGGAAAAGAAGAAGGTTTTTGCAGATAAGATAGTTTGACTAATTTCCAGTCAGAAACAAATACAGAGCAGCTTGTCCTGCCATCACCTGTCTTACCAGGACACTTCAGCGATTCAAAGGAAAGCACCCATTTACCTCTCGGGGTTCTGCATTTCTTCGGTGACATAGTTGAGCGTGTCCCATCCTGAGTAGGAGAAGAGGGCAGAGTAGAGAGCCAGCGCGATCATCCCTGGGTTTGTTGCTGAGCCCTCGAACGGAGCTCTCAGGTTTTCTGTTTCTCCTGTAGAAACGGCAGGTACCAATTTCCTGTTACATTTCAAGGATTACGACGTAGGAGGACACGACACTAAAAGTCTCAGCTAACCAAAAGGAAATAAAACCCCACTGCATCCAGGTTTCATTACTATTTCTAAAAGTGCACAGCTTATATTTTCACTTGACAAATAGGAAAGTTTCACTCAGATGTTCAGACAGCTACACTTGTACAGGGAGACAGCAGAAGATGTTTTCCCGTGTTTGTTATTTGGATGTGACTTGTGTAATTCTACCAGAATTCACGGGGTCCTCATCTCCTGGCATCGCTGTCTAGTCTACTGAAGGAGTGAGCCATATTGAGGTCATGCTATGCCCTGTCAACCAGGCAGAGGCACTTGGGAAACCCAATTTCAGTTCCTGAATCTGTCTCATATTTCTTCCTCATATCTGTGCTTTTGTTTTCACCAGATGAATTAGTGGCCACTGGAGGGGGAACTCCTGAAGGCATAGTTCTCAGTGGGATGTTCTGTCCCACAAAGGTGTTCCCCAAAATTAAGAGAGGATACTTGAAAAATCTTTCCTTTCAAAATTCTCCTCTAGTTTAGCTCAATCGGTTGAGACAACAACCTGCAGAATGCTGCAAAGTAGATGAAATGTTAATGAAACTGTGTGAGCCTTCACTACGATTCTGGAAAGGGGAAGAAAGGCCTTACTGAGTTTGCAGAAGGAAAGTCAACTATCTAATATAAATGGAAGTGGGTTAAGTATTAAGGAAGACAGAAACACGCTGAAACCTCTATTAGGGAAGAAAGTAAGGTCTTTGTTGTAAAATGAAACAACTTCACCCTGTGGTTAGTTAAACTAAGGAGTTTATAGATACCACAAAAGTAATTTAGTCTTTGAAGAGCAGTAACTACCAGGAGACTGTTCGAACCAAGGAGGATGAAGTTACAAGATGTACACACACTTTGAGGAAGAAAATAGTTGGAAGGAAAAAAAAAGAAAAAATCCAAAAGGACCAAGAAAAGCTTTTTTTACTAAAGACAGCATATACTCAAAATCAGACACATTCACAGTGTTTTAAAACAAGAGGCGTATCTAAGCACATCAGAAAGAATACGGCAGGGCTAAAATGTCATAACTGTTCTTTTCATTAAAACAGCTGCTGAATTTAAAAGAGTGCATTGACCTGATCACAGCTTCCTCCAGAAGTCTACATCATTCCTCCTCCCAGTCCTTTCCGTATTTAAGTGCTTGGTTCTGCTTAAACAAAGCAGAGGCAAGACCTTTACTACCACTAAAAGCCATCAGCATTTTGCGTTCCTCACAATAATATTTCCTCTCCACCTTTACCCTCCCTGACCCCACGGAGCGATGCAAAGGAACTGGCGTGGGCTATATGGATGCAGGAGCAGAGGGAATGGCCCCTGGGCCAAACTGCATCATGGCAGCTGCACGCCAGCAAGCGGGCTGGGAGTTTTGAAGGAGTCGATTTGAAAGCATGGGTAAATTATGTGACTGTGGGGACAGGGCAAAGCTGCTATAGGGGTGACATCATGGACTCACACCATTGTAAAACTGCAGCAGCTTTATGAGGGGAACTACTCCTTCATTTAACTGTGGCCCTGAAGCAATGCTTTTCCTCCGCATCTTCACATTCCTGCCTTAGGACTGGGCTCCTTTGTTCAGGTTTCTTTAAACTTGAACAAACCGGTGACAACTGACATGCACGGATAATGGCTAAACAAAAAAGCTCTCTTAAAGTCTGGTGTAGCTGTACAGAGCAACAGCTGATGCAACTGCAGCCAAGGAAAGGAGAAGGCCAGCAAATGTGGAAAAGCAAGCATGCTTGTTAGGTTTTATAAGCTAGTTTCAGCAGGAGAAAAAGACAATTCCTGAACTGAAGAGGGGAAACAATCTTTATTTCAACTGAATAAAGATACAGTGGCTATTTAGGAATTTCATGGGAAAGGAAAATGAAGAAATCTTAGTAATTAAGAAACAGAGCTAGAGTTGGAAGAGACTTCATTGTACCAGAGGCCCAAATTAATAAAATCAAATCTATTGTCAAATGCAAAGATCAGAGGTAGCACGAGAATAAACTAGTCTCCAGCTTTTCAGTGTATTCAGTTCAGTTCAGTTCCTGCTGATACGAGGTGGCTCATCTGTCCTGTGATGTCTTACGATACCACAGTGATTCACAGGACTGCACTATTACAGTCTTCTCCCTTGTTTCTAGGAACAAGCACACCCTCTCACCAATGAAGGAAAAGACGAGTTCCTCCCTTCCCGATCTTCTCCCCTCGCAGGGTGCTGCGGCAGCTCTCTGCCATGGGCAGGGCAGGGAGAGCTGGGGGTGAGGAGCGATATGAAGGACGTGTCCAGCAATTTCTGCTGTGCTGTCCTGTTATAGGACACGTAGCAACGCTAGCCTTTAACAAGCATGAGTCAGAGACACTGAGGCTGACTTTAAACTAGTTAGCACTAAACTGATGTTAATTCAGCTGCTATTTGCTAGTCAGCCTGAGCAACGCAGAACTTGGCGTGTGTTGGCTTGCCACACTACAGATAGAAGAAGAATTAAACCCCCATTGCTTAACAAGCCATAAAATTCCTCTGATCTTCCTATGGCAGACAATTTTGTCCAGAATAAACAACACTTCATATGTAAGTCTTAAGGAGTCTGATCTTCCTGCACAGATTTTGAAACTCATATACAGTTCATTTTTAAGAACCTAAGTAAATGAAAATTATTCTTACCTTTACCAATTTTGTAAAGACCAACAGATATCACCAAGATAAGAGCCATAACTTTTGCATATGTGAAAACGTCTTGTACACGGGTTCCCCACTTTACATTAACACAATTAATAAATGTTAAGGAACCTGCAGAGAAAAAGAACATGTATGAGAGGAGCACTGTATGTTTTATTTAAAGCATATTTCAAATCCATCCTTCCAGATACCACCCTTCTTTCAAGCAATAAAATAGAATCAAATTTCACCATTTCAGGACCACCTAGATTTATTAAAATGAATGAAATACCTAGTTTAAAATTTACACAATGTTTTCTGAAGGATACTGTTTTCATGACAGTAGGTAACACAAAACACATCAGCTTTTGAATTTTAGGACTAACTCCTGCTCCTTTTAAATAATCTTTAAATTTTATTAAAGTCAACAGAATTGCTCACATGCAGAAGGTGAGATTTCTTCATATCTTTTATTTGAATTGGAGTTTTTCCTGAAGTTCTCCATGCTGGTTCAAACTCTAGTCTACGTATAGAGTAAGGACAGCTTCTGCACCAAAAGGTTTGGATGCTGTGGACAAGATACTGAATTGAGCCAGCCCAGCATGCTGTTACTCCATGCCCATGGCTTAGAAGCTGTGTCATTCACGCTTTGACCCCGAGTCTGAAGATTACAGAAGTAGTCACTCACAGAGTTCTCTCAAGCCTCAATTTTGACAGAATCTAATAGAAATAACAAAGTAATTGGTTGCAGAGAGTGGGTGGGATCAACTTGTTCTCCTTTCCTCCTTCTGCCATATTCTTTGCATTCAGTTTTGTCACAGAAGTTAAGCCCTGATGAGCAGATAAAGCACTGTGACAAGTGCTGCTGCTCGGCCGGCAGCAGGTCCAGCCAGGGGCCGAGCTGTGTGCCCACCTCCTCTCACTCTAGCACACACACATGGCATCATGGGCAACTTATCTCTCTTGCAACTCCGTAATTCAAAACAGAGATAGATGAGGAAAGGTAAGGGTATGCATTGGTACCATACTGGGTCTCCAGCCCAGCTGCTGGAGAAGAGAGCAGGACAAATGTGGCATGGGTGGTCCAGAGTGCTCTCAAGCATGGATCAGAATGGGCTATTCCTTCTCTAGCAGTCTTGTTGGTCTTTGCTTCTGTTTCTTTGACCTGCCTATAATCTACACTTCAGTTTTGAAAGGAAGAAAAAGCGTTTTGTAATGCTTAAAATGAAAAACATTTAGAAACCTTTCTATATAGTAAGGAAATTAGCATCCAACCACAGATGCTCAAAGAACTTCTTGCCTTCATTTTCACAAGTGACTCTGCAAATTTGACAGAGTGTCCTGTCAGTTGTCAAGGTAATAATAGACCTATTTACAGAAGTGGGACCTGATTTGCCCCACTATTTCCTATTAATATACCAATATTGTGCAATGGGGACAGAATTTTGTTTTTATTCTGGTATTAAAAAAACCCAATAGGTTATATAATGATTGTTTATGCCTAGTGTCAGGTTTGAGTATAATTTTAAACATGTCTGTAAATAATGACTTCTGTAAACCTTGCTCTAGTAAAGGAAGGAGGGGCGGAGGGGTTGCCCTCTACATCAAGAAATGGATAGTGTGAAGAGCTGCCTCTGAAGAATAGCCATGAGCAGGTTGAAAGCTTATGGGTAAGAATTAGAGACCAAGGCAACAAAGGGAACTTTGTGGTTGGTGTCTACTACAGGCTGACCTATCAAGGGGAGCCTATTGACAAAGCCTTCTTACTCCAGCCACAGGAGGCATCGTGTGCGCAGGCTCTCATCCTGCTGGGGGACTTCAACCACCCCGACATCTGCTGGAAAAGTAGCACAGTGAGCTGTAGGCAATCCAGGAGACTCCTGGAGTGCATCGAGGATAACTTCTTAGGCCAGGTAATAGACAGGCCTACCAGAGTGGATGCAGTACTGGTCACCAACACAAGTGAGCTAATCTGTGATGTCAAGATTGGAGGCAGCCTGGACTGCAGTGATCATGCACTGGTGGAGTTCGCAGTCCTGAGGGATATGGGTCAGGCAAAGAGTAAAGTCAGGACCCTGAATTTTAGTAAAACAAAATTCCAGCTTTTCAAGGAATTAGTGAATAGGACCCCCTGGGAAACTGTCCTCAGGGACAAGGGAGCAGAACAGAGCTGGCAGATCTTTAAGGACACCTTCCATGGAGTGCAAGAGCTCTTGATCTCCAGGTGTAAGAAATCAGGAAAAGAAGGCAAGAGACCGGCATGGCTGAGTCGAGACCTGCTGGTCAAACTTAAGGGCAAGAAGGAAATGCACAGGCAGTGGAAGCAGGGACAGGGATCCTGGGAAGAGTATAGGCATGCCGCCCAGTTGTGTAGGGATGGGGTCAGGAAGGCCAAGGTGTGGATGGACCTCAGTGGCTGAGTCGAGACCTGCTGGTCAAACTTAAGGGCAAGAAGGAAATGCACAGGCAGTGGAAGCAGGGACAGGGATCCTGGGAAGAGTATAGGCATGCCGCCCAGTTGTGTAGGGATGGGGTCAGGAAGGCCAAGGTGTGGATGGACCTCAGCTTGGCAAGGGATGCAAAGAATAATAATAAGGGCTTTGTTGCGGTTTAACCCAGCAGGCAGCTAAACACCACACAGCCGTTCACTCACTCCCCCCCGCCACCCATCAGCCAGGGGGAGAGAATGGGCGCGGGGGAGGAAAAGTAAAA